AATGAAATTGACTGCATCTAAGAGATTTATAGAAAATGTTTCATTTTTATCGATCACCTCTAACGTTTTCATAAGAAGAATTTTTCACCGGCAGATTCTCCAACAGTTTTTCCGCTACTGATATTATGCCTCTTCTTGAAACGCTCTTCCCAACTTTTAGAACAAGCAAACTCTTTGTTTTTGATTTAACTCAACATTTTTTAGCATTTTCTTGCAAAACACTGCCACTTATGGGAACGTTTTCCTGTCTTTTTTGAGTAAACCACTTAATAAGTCTCTTGTCAACCTTTTCATGTGCAGATAATTTTAACTTCCTACATCTAACATTTGTGTTGTCATACGCTGATAAAATGTTTTCCCTGTTTTTCCATATTGTTGAAACAGTAGACTTTCCAAGTGCTAATTCCTTATAAATGTCACTCCGCTTTACTCCACTTTTTATTTTGTTAATAATCTCGCACTTTTCATTTAGTGAAAAAGCTTTACGTTTTCGTTTTTCCATTTTAAAACGATTTACATACATAACGCGGCAAAAAACAAGTCACTGCCTGTTTCTCGCTCTCACTAACTCACACAACTAACAACCACAGGATTGGTGTTGCTGAGCGTGAAAGTTCGTTATAAACGGAAAGTGAATATACAACTAACCTGAAAAGTGAACGTTATATCCGGAAGTTCGTTATAAACGGGTTCGTTATAACCAGTAAAAAAGTACGTTGGTCTTTATGGACCACGTTTCAATTAAAGGAAAAAAGTTCGTTTTAACCGAAAGTTTACTATAACCGGGTTCATTATAAGCGGACTTTACTGTATTATAAATGTTCACACAAAATGCAGGCGGGAGTTGACAAAAGCTTATGTTCCAGGCAGGGAATGATTAAATTAACATGTATTTTCCAATTAGTGTTTAGATGGAAATTTTGTCATTATTTGAAAGCTTTGTTAGAAGAAAGGAAGAAAGACAGAAAAACTCGAACTAAAAATGAATTAACTAACAGGAATCATGACATAATAGAACGCTGTTTTCCTGAGCTACTTCATGAAAAATGGTGGCATTTCAAATATTCTTGTGCAACTGCCCATAAGCAAAAACTTACGTACGTGCTTTTCCAAAAGATGACCAATCTGGTTTTCCCAGTTTTGCCTCTAAGGGCTCATTTGGATCTCCGGGGGGCTAACGCAACTTGTTTTTCCTTGGAAGAAATTTGAATATCTCCTGCGCCCCTCAAGTCTACATTTTCTGAGTGGCAAGGAAGTGGATTAATTAAATTGAATGTCGTTATTGGGTTGATCAGAAAGTTATTTCGATTTGTGTGAAAAACGTTTAAAAACAAAAGACAATTTTTATTAGCAAATCTATATTTTGTTGCATTACATGTTGTCCAATCGGGTCTCCAACGTCTGTTATCATCTCTCTGGTAGTAGTATTATTTCACATTTAAAAATGTTTTGTTTCTGATACAAAAAAATTATCCTGGAAACGGTTGATTTGCAAATAAACTTTTAGTGTCTAAAAAATGTTGAAGGGACCGGAACACTTAACAGAATATCTCGGATCTGGAAAATATTCTGGGTGTAGCAACCCAAAACTTCTTCGTCTAAAAAAATTCTGGTTCTTTCTGTTCAAGTCAATCATGCAATATGATCAGCGATTGACAAAAAATATTTTGAAATTCTTCCCTTGAAACCCATATATCGAGCTTTTAATATAATGATAGGCGTTTTAACTTTGATGTCTTTGATCAGGTTGGAGATGTAACTTGTATTGTTATTGCTTTATATTTGATTGTGTTATTCAAATTCATGTGAATAGTTTCTATCTTAAAAAATTGCTTTCGCTGCCATTACCTGAAAGTGGTGAGTTTGCTCAATGCAATAACAACACAAAAACAATCTAAACTTACTGAATGAACAGTTTTTGCAAAAATACAGTGTCGTGCCGGAAGGTCTCGGCACCACAACTACACCCGACTATTTGAATGTCATTGGTGTGTCGAGCTCTTCGGACACGACACTTATTTTTAGCAAAAACTGACAAATCGATATTTAAGAGAGGTTTTGCGTTGAAATTAATGTCGGCCCGAAGTGCTCGGCACAGCAAGTAAATCAGACACTTTTGAATGTCATTGTTGTGCCGAGCCCTACGGATACGACACTAATTTTTACCAAAAACTGATCGGTATCTATGTTTAAAGAACTTTTTGTGTTAAAACCAGTGTCGTGTCCGAAGGGCTTGGCACAACAATGATATTCAAAAGTGTTTTGTTGTGCCGAACCCATTCGGGCACGACACTCATGTTTTTCAAAAAAATGATTAATCGGCAAGTTTAGAATAAAGAGTATTTTGGCGGTGAAGCCAGAGTCGTGCCTGCAGGGTTCGGCACCACAATGACATTCAAAAGTGTCTGATGTAGTTGTTGATACATCGAACTCAATATATTTAATCTGCTGTCGATTAATAATTGTTTTGCATCTACTAATGAAAGCTAAAAACCTCCAAGTTATCTTAACAACGAAATAACTTTTCGATCCACTCAACTAGTTTTACTGCGGTATTTTTGTCTGCTTGCAAACATCTTCTGCTCCACTCTGAGTTCGCTTTAAAGCGCTTTTTTTGTTGTTCATAATATTCTAGTTATTTGCGCATACACTTCATATAGCTGTCGATGTGAGTAGACGTGTTCTAGTCGCGGTGATAGTGGTGTTTACAGTTAGAGGCATACATCGATTAAATACCATTCCATACGA